TTGTGCAAAGTGATGGGAAAAACCACTAAGGCAAATAATAATGATACCTTGCTTTGATGCTGAGGAATCGAAGCTTTGCTTGCAATAACTTCACTTTACATTCGTCCTTTGTGTTACCTTTGAAGTGGGTGTGCGATATCTAGATATGTATGTACGTACATATATAAAAAATAAAGAGTATGTGCGGGTATTTGCCAAATCTTTGCTTCGTCCGCACATATTTTACTTTAAGAAAAAACCTCCACATGGCTTTTCGAGCACCAGTACTTTGTTTACGCCAAAACGACTAAAATAATTATTTTTACACACGCACTTCGTTTTCGGTAGGTTTACTCCTTTTAAATCTTATTTGGTGGTCAAGGGCGATTATGCTTCAATGAAGAATATACCTTTAATAGTAAGTAACGTTGAGCGAAGACTATGAAATATTTGATGTAGGAACTAAAGCGTTAATTATATTTATACATTCGTACTAAAGTCGTTTTGGTCTATACTTTCCAATACTTTCGTTTCAGTAGAACCGACCTGTGGTAGGGCCAAGAACATTCAGCAGAGCACATTATACTAAAGCCACCCACCAAGTCCGACGAAACAATCGTCGCTTAGACACCTCACCGATTAGGAAGGAATAGGAGGGCTTGGTGATGATGAAAGATGAAAAGAACTAAAACGCCAGAAGTCTTGACTAGGACGCTGAACTCGATTCTTTGCTATAATAGTAAAATTGCTGAAGATCATAGGCATCATTGATGTGAACAACAAAGAAGACATGGATTCCTAGGTACTAACGGAAGTGAGTCCTATCCGGGCTGGAAAAAGTAGTGTTACAAGTAAGCCCTCGATGTGTTTAATGAGAAGTAAAATTTTAACAGGTAGTCGAAAAAAATGCCCTCCTTCTCACTTCTTCTGCCAGTTTTTTTTTTTGATCTCGAACGGAAAGGCCAGACATACCGAGAGCTACATATTAACTCCTAAGGCTTCCTTTATACGGGTCGCTTTGTGTCGACAGAAAAATCGACTAGCCAAAGAGCTTACATTTTTTACAGTTGAATTTATTTAAAGGGTCCGTTTTGGTTGAACGACCACGATCGACTAGAAAATCGACCCGTGTAAACGCAGCTTAAGTGTAAAATAGGTTTAATTTTCACTTTGCGTGGCGGAACTCGGTAGCGATAATATACTCTTTCACCGATGCTAATCAGCTTCGTGCGTTGAGAATATAAAAAAAACGAATTGTCGTAAGTGCAGATTTTCACGCAGCAGCTTTATTTTCCCTCCAAATGCCAAAAGTTTCTTTAGTAGTTAACAGCAGAATTACCCAAGAAAATTTGAAGAAAGAAGAAAATAAATTCAGTAAATCGCTTATTCGCCTTACGAAAATCACCTACGGAAACACTTTGTCTTTGCCCAAAAATAGACTTTGAGTGTTATTTACACACATCTACATAGTATGTATATATACATTCAAATAGCCATGGCATAACCATTTTATGCAGGTGTGAAGTCCCTTTATGCTTTAAAGCGGCATTTTAAGAGCATTGGCATAAGGAACAAATTGGATGCATATGAATATGGAAACCATTGCAGCCACAGACCTTTTGCGTGCTCAAGGATGGAAGCAGTGTTGGCACCTGACCGCGTATTTATCTTTGTGCTAAAAACGAATGAACAAATATTTTATGCTGCTCTCTTTCACTTTTTTCGCACCCATTATCTACAATAAAAATGTAACTGTATGTACATATGTATGTATGTGGCATCACTCGCCGACACTGAAATTAATGCATATTTCATACACCGACTAGTGACAATAAACAAAAACAAACGGTGGCAACAACAAAACAGTGATGGCGTTGCAATAGCGGCACAGCTGCTGACGCACACCAACAAAAGCGGCTGCAGCATCAACAATTAAGAACTCAGTGCTGCCGCCCACGTTGCCACCGCTGCGGTGCTGGTTTTGGTGCTGGTTAGGGGTTTGACGCCCGCACGAAGGAATTATCGCAATAGTGGCGTACGGAAGGTGCGAGCCGAGACGCATTGGGTGCACAATTGCGCTGACAACATTGCGCGACGGCCACCAGAGGATCAAGGTGTTATTCAAACGAAAAAATGAGAATAAACAAAAACAATAATACGAAATCGCGCACAATAAAATAAGTGAGTGGTGAAAAAATTTTGCGCTAAAAGCGAACTGGTGAATAACTACCGAAAAAATAATGGCTGACTGGCTGGAAAGATACATACATGCTGTAGGTGTCGCAGGAAGTGCGGTGGCTCCGATGTATTGAAAGTGGAGCGCTTGGCGTAGGTGGCGGTGTCGATGTGGGTATTTTGGTGAAAAGGAGTGTTGATAAATATTCAAGTGCAGCGCTGCTGTGCAGTGGCAAGCACTAGACATGAGTCTCAATGTTGGAAATGCAATACAAATAAACGCTCATTTCTGCGAGCACTGATAGCAACAACAATGGTGCGCGCAGACAGGTAACAATGCACTACAATATACATATGTATATACATACATACATACATATGTATGAAGTGTTGGCATGTTATGGAGCATCTGCGCTTGGGAAGTGTTTGCATTGTAAACAACATCCGCTATGTGTGAAAGTGGAATTAAAAATAGGAGTTAAGCATTTAAATAAATGAAAATGAAGCACCAAACAGTGGGTATGATGAATGTTAACAATAGCCAAAAAAAA